ATTCGAGGCTTGTGTTGTTAACGTGAAAATCACATGACTAATGACAAGCGAGGCCTCGGTTTGTGTGAAAAACGTCATCGGTTCGGTCCCTTTTACTGTCTAAGGTGCGTTCCATTCGACAGGTTCCCTAGTGTTCACTGCTCCCTACTCCCTGAACACGGTACATCAGTTGAAGTGGATTTCGCTGACAATAATCACTCATTTGGAATGCCCTGCAACGTCATCAAAGAAAGGCAACAACAGGGTCGCGCATATTATGATATAACTTAATTAAATTTTGTAATTTACTTTCCTTTCTAATTTAAAATCATATAATAGGCCTATAGATACATCCATCACCCCAACCGTTCATAAATATTCTAGTTTGTATAATAATACCAATATTTATGAATGCATACGTAAACTCAGAGCCATTCGAAATTTAAATTTAAAATCTCTTCCAACGGCTCTGCTCTATGGTTAGTTCAGACCTGTGACCCGGTGCACAACGACAGTTGGTTGATTTTCGCTCTCCACTTCCTGTGAAGTGATGTATCGATGTTCCCTTATTCCCTACGCCGTATGCAGTCCCCTTCGAACTGAACATGTTCGTTCCCTTCGGATTGGAATCTCACTTAAGATGGCGAAATACCCTGTGAAGTCCACTTACGGTCGAATGGAACGCACCTTATGGTTCGGTCTGAGTGTCGCTTCCGGATTTCTTTTACTGTCTATCTGGGATAAAGGGGGTTCGAAACTCGCGCCACCTTCTGGGTGTTGTCAGGAGTAGTAGAGGCAGTTGTAGTAGTGTCAGAGTGTCAGAGAGTTAGAACTCTCATTGGCATTGTCGTTATTGTGTCATATATGTGTTAGGGCTGTATATTATTACATGATATCAGGTTAGAATTCTTATATTAATTATTATATTAACTTATATTGTTATTAATAATTATAGTAGCTATAGTCTTGTTATATTAATTAGATAACATTATTTGGATTGCTTTGGATTTTTGGATCTGGACTGGACTGCTTTTTGTTTTGGATTGCCCTTTTGGATTTGTTTGCTTTTGTTTGCTCTTCCTTTTTCCTGGTAATGGAGCCAGCAAGAAAGAGGAGATCCTCCCCCGTCTGGGCTCAACAGAAGCATCAGTATCCTCATTTATATCAACTGGCACTGACATTTTTATGTTCCCCTGCATCCTCTGTTCCTTGTGAAAGGATCTTTTCCAAGGCTGGAGAGGTTTTGTCCAAAAAGAGGAATCGTCTAAACCCCAACACACTAGAAACATTTTTTTGTTTCTCAATAAAAATCTGTTGTAATCCTTCCGTCACCCACCCCAAACTGCAGTGTTGCCGTTTGCTCCTCTATATCCCCAGTCCCATAAGCACAACACTGCACTAAAACTAGTAACAGTTCACTGCACAAAACCCCCAGAAACAATTCTTAACTTTTCCCACCCCAAGACTATTCTGTGCAGTTTACTTTATTACACTCCCTCCACCATAAGCACTGCACTCAACACAGTGTCATACTGTCACTATCCAAACAATTTATGAATAATTAATTAACTGTGTGTGTGACAGTTGTCTCTGCACAAGTAAATTCAGACAGAGAAAGATGCATATTTTATTTTATACCCAGGCAATGGACAAATGTCTACTTAGGTCTTTTTATTATTGCAAATGAAAGGTTACAGACATTAACAATGAGAAGAAAATAAATAAAACAGAACAGGCAGGTGGGTTTGGTATACGGACATCATAAGTCTGCTCAGGTCATTGGTTCAGAATTAATTCATTTGTCTGCTATTTCTTTGTACAGTAGCTAGGTGTCACTAGTGAGCAATGCTGAATGAAGCTTCGGGTAATGAACCTTTGGGTGAAGCAATGGGCTGCGAGGTCTCAGTGGTTCAGGAAGCCTCATTTTGCCATCACTACCTACTGGACACAAACACTGTGCACACGCTGCATGGTATCGGTAGTTGGTATCAGAGCATTTTAACGAGCACGGTATTATTGACAGAGAACAAGTGAAACACAAGGGCTATTTATACACAGGGGCAAACAAGCTTAACAAGATAACAAGTAACAAGACAAACCTGGGGAAGACTAATCAACATGAAAAACTAGAACAAGACACAGGAATGAACACAGAAACAATAGGAACATAAAAACCATTCAACATTAAAGTCCATACAAAACAGGCACAACACCGGGATTGTGACACACTTAAAGATGATAAATAATGGATGAATTAGGTACATTTAAGAAACAAACCGCTGTCTAAAAGATAAGAGACACTTTGTATAATAGAAAATACTTTTTGTATAATAGAACATACAAATATAATTCTTACTTATATAATGTATTAGTAAGTATCATTTGCTGAATTGCAGTATACCCTTAATTAACCTTAAAAGGTGATACTGTAGTTTGTTTTCTTTAGTTTGAACCTTGCAGGTTTGATAGGCCTACAATGTGTTTAGTTTCCTGGGTAACACTTTACTTGAAGGGGTGGTGCATAAGACTGACATGACACCTTCATAATCATGACATGACACATGTCATGAATATGAAGAAAGGTTTATGCATGTTTATGACAACTGTCATTAAGTGTCATTCGCTCAATTATGACATTTAATGCAAATGTGACATTGTTTGAGATGTCTTTGTTATGACACCTTGATATAAACCAATACATCATAACCTGTCAGTGTCTTGGTAATGACATTACCAAGACAACATAAATTGTCATAAATATGTCATAAACATGACATAGCAGATTAATGATCAAACTTAAGAAACCACTTAGCTTTATGGGTTAACATTACATGAAACTGTCATGTGGTTGGTTTTGACATTGGCTGTCATGAGGCCATTATAACTGTCTCATGAATATTTTTCTTGACCTCAACTACAGTGGTACAAATTGAATTTGTCATTATGACATATTTATGACAGGTTGTGTTGTCTTAGTAATGTCAAGTTGTCATGACAAAGACACTACAGGTTATGATGTATTGGTTTATGTCGAGTTGTCATGACAAAGACACTGACAGGTTATAATGTATTGGTTTATGTCAAGGTGTCATTACCAAGACATCTCAAACAATGTCATATTTGCATTAAAAATGTCATAATTGAGCGAATGACACTTAATGACAGTTGTCATAAACATGCATGAAACCTCCTTCATATTCATGACATGACTGTGTCATGTCATGATTATGAAGGTGTCATGTCAGTCTTATGCACACCCCTTCAAGTAAAGTGTTACCGTTTCCTGTCCTGAGAGCTTTAACTACTTTGCCTAATTATTATGATATTAAATAGTATGGTATTATGGACATGTGCCATAGTAGGCTACCACAGAAATCTTTTTTTAATATATATAGTAGCATGGAAATACCATGATACGGCAAAAATCATTAATGACATTTCAAAGCGTAAATGCCATGGTATTTACACAATGGGGCTCCAAGGTACTTTCAAGAAGCATGGGAACTACCATGATATTTTAGGAAGTGGTGAAACAGTTATTTGTAGCCTCGATCTGCTTTGAAAACATTGTTGTAAGTAAGAGACTCTAATCCAAATGTCCTGTATTTGTAAGATATTCATTCAAGACAGTAAATTCATAAGACTGTCTGTCAGTCTGTTCATTGTCAGAGGAGGGCGCTGTTGAGTTTCTTATCTCATAACTCGAGCTCTTACGTTCGTCTCTATACTACTGTCAAAATAAATGTAGCATTAAATAAAAAATAAAACAAATCATCATGAAATAACATGTATTACGGTATTGTTTTATGTTTAAACTATGATGAAAATAACACTGTGCTCTTTGCAGCAGCCTACTGTGTAATATGGTATGTAGCTCTAGTCTATTTTTGTACGGTAATTTATGTAATATACATTGGATATACGTTTCAAATAATCTCTCAAGAACACAAAAGAAAAAGCGATACAGATGAAACATGATCTTAGCTATATCATGTTCGAAACACAAGGTGGCATTGTTGTTCTTTCCCAGCTAACCGAGCTGAATTCTCTTTATCCTCTTCACTGGGAAATTGGCCATTCAGAATGATCCTAAGATTTATTCATTGCCCCACTTGTAGAATTATGAGACTAGTTTACATATTTCCTTTTTCAATTGCACGAGTAGCCTGTAAAACCACTTTCTTCCCTTTCTCTAGTACCTCATGTAGAGGTTCATTACAGACACTAGAGGGCGCGCGAACAAAAAAAAAATGCCATTATATATTATATTATATTATATTACATTACATTATATTATATATTGTTTGTTGTTTTTATTATTATTATTTTATAATTATCTTTAGGCTATATATAATTTATATTATGCATAATTTAAGGGAAAAAATAACAACTGCAAGATCAATTGTAAAAGTATAGAATTTGTATTTATGCATTATTCGTTTAATAGGCTGCCTGAGAAAAATACATTGCAAATACATTTTCGTCACTATCAACTCGCGTTTGTTTGTTTTTTTGTTTTTTTAGAAAATATATTATATATTTCTATATATGATCAATAAAATATATGGAAATACAGGCAATTCTAAAAATGTTTTTGTTAATGATAATATATATATTTAAATAATATTGATGTTTGTGCAATAAAAGGCCTACATTTCCTGCTTAAAATACACCATAGATATGTACACAAAATACACCAACACTAAACAAAAAAAAGTGCGTACAGGGGGGGGGGGGAGTGCGTACATAAACTGCCGCATTTTTCTGACTTTCGCTTAGGCTGTTTTCACTACACATGCACGAATGTTTATGCATATGGATTGTTAGAGCATAATTTAGTATGGTTTATATCGATGCGCACGCATGCATTCGTATTTGGCCATGTTGGATGATTTTTGCTTGTGCATATGGCGAATGGATGATGGTGCACTGAGTGACTGGTGCGTTCAGTCGTGCGTCAGACACAGAGGTCCTCCCCTTGTGTTTCCATGTAGCTGCCCCCCTCCCTCCCTCCCTCTCTCTCTCGCTCTCTTTCTATCCCCCTCCCTTCCTCTCTTCTCTTCTGGCATCCCCCATCCCCCATCGCTTTATGTGCTTCCATACAGCCTGAAAAATCAACCGGAGGAGGAAACCTTCACACTCGCGGAGAATAGACTGACCCTCAGCAACCCAGAAGATCGCTCTAAACCGGGATCACAGACTGGATCAAGGAGACCTATTTAAACTCTCGCATACCGGTAAGTAACATTTTATGTAGTTTGATTTAGTAGTAAGTAGTAGTGATTTTCAAAGTCCAGAAACACCATCCAACCACCATTAGAGCTTCACCACCATCAAACAGCAGCAATGCTTTTCTCCTGCCAATGTGTGTTAGTGATGGTGAGGCTCTTTCTAATCCTGTCTGATGGCGATTGAAGAGAAAAACAAATGCACTCGTATCACCTATTCGAGTTTAGAATATCGGTTAACGCCGTTTTCCGGACGGATCCATGAATGAGATGGATTTTTTCATGCTGACTTTGTTCATTCCCTTGTCATGCATTTGGACATTCCATAGAGCTGAGACACAGAGACACTCAAAATGGTGTCTGGAGGAGTTTGGGGCCTTTAAACACACAAGAGATCAAATCATAAACGCTGTTATGAGGAAACACGAAGCGCGATAAAAAAATCAGACGCATCCATGTGCAACAATGTAACAGCGATTATGACGCAATAAAGATCTTTTGTTGTTCAGCGTTACATTGTAACGCGCATTCGAGCGCCCGTGCTACTTTCTCTCTTTTTTTGTTGCATTGATTCACGATGCTTTCGGTTTTATGCCATTATAATTTCTTTTAATTTGGCGTATTTTTATCATTGCATTCCTGCTTGATTGATACAAAGGAAAACAGCACATTGGTCCGTATCGAATACAAGTCAGTGTGTTTATGAACATAATTCATGACCATTTGTGTGCATGTTTATGAAATTAACTTCATATTTACAGCCATTCATAGCCAGTATGTGGGTACTTTGTGTTTTAGTAAGGGAATGCAAAACAATATTAACTCCATCAGTTGATATAACAATGGGTGACATTTTACATTGCAGTCCATGTTACATATTGATAATTAATAAACATTCAAATGTTTATTATTGTGCCAAAATCAAGAAATAAACCATAATTGGAGCCTGAAATGTAAAAAATAATCACTATTGGCTGTCATAATAATGTTATTGTTCTAGCTCTAACCAAAATTAACACAGACTGTGTAATGTGAGGTTACCCAACAAAAATGTGAAATGTTCAGAATCCAAAGGCCAGAAAGCTGATGTTTATTAAAATCTGTGACGATGCTCTGAATCGGTGATGCTTGGATCATTGCAGACGGCTTCCTCGTCATGTGCTCTCCAATCCACCATTCCTGCAATAAAAGTGTCAATTGCTTTTCTGATAGATGGTCTTAACGTTACAGTGGCTGAACAGGCACAGAAAACGCTTCATTTGTTTTCATTGATAGTTTTATTATCAGCTCGAAATTCAATTTGTATAGAAAAGCTTGCCATCGACTGAGAGTCATAAAAGGTTTATGTATTGTGCTGCAAGTATGCTGAAGCATGTGGGGTTTGTCATTATTAAAGGATTTCTTGTAGTCGTTTGTAGGAGTGACAGGTGCTGGAATGCACAAATGGGGGTAAACATAGGGAATTTAATAAAAAATTACTTGCATTAATAAGTTTAGTTACTAATATATAATTATATATATATATATATATATATATATATATATATATATATATATATATATATATATATAATTATATATATATATATATATATATATATATATATATAAAATTACATGTTTGTGTCTAGGAAATGCACAGTTGACAAAAAGCACTGAGCTTGAGTTCAGATGCAGATAAAATTAACTTTTATTAACAATAGTAACATGCAAAAACCCAAATTTTTATTCAAAATAAATAAATATTCTACTCTTATTAAATATAGGCTACCATTGTTCTTCTATAGACTCATATTGAACTGACCAACAGTCAATATATAAAAATATATATTTGTATATATATAAATATATGTGCTCCTATGCCGCCATCTACTGGTTATAGTAGTAATTTCATGTCTTTTTTATTTTTAAATAAAAGTGTTTGTTTGCCACCAAGTGTTAGTTTTCCTGCAAATGTTGACAATGTTTGAAGATTGAACAAATCATGTTTTTGGTCATCACATTAGAAAATAGCATTTAAATGGGATAATATATAGAGCTTTTAAGTGCTGGAAAAAGTTAAAAGCACTTGAAAGTCCTTGAAAAGTGCTTGAATTTGACTCTCAAAAGGTTGTACGAACCCTGAAATGAATAATGTAAAAAACATTATTTCTGCCACAATATCATGGTTACAGTAATATCGTCACCACATTAAATCCATGGTAACTGTTGTTGATTTGTGGACTGAAAAGCTTTCTATAACAAGCACAACGCCTCCTGGTTTCCATGTCGCTGTTTGATCTGATATATATGGTTTATAACAGAGAATTTTGCGTTGAATTTGAACACTTCTCACTTGATCTTGCAGTGATGTTATTGGTTCTACTGTGAATTCAAGTGCTTTCTCACTGGATCTCCCGGAGCTGTGTAGTAACACACAGTCGCCTGATCGAGATCGGCCCGCAAGTAAAGCCTGAGCTGTGTTCGAAATGGCCCCCTAACCCTCATTCACTATTCCCTACATTACTCCACTAATAGTCCACTTAAAGAAGTGAGTGAAAACGAGAGAGTGAATTTGGAAACGGAATGTGCCGGAAGGGCTGCCGCTTTTGCGTTGTTTGTGCTTGCTGTTTAATAATAATTTTACACTTAGCAAACTGGCAGTTCCAGTAGTAGGATGAAAAGATTTATGGAAACTAGCATGTATAACCCTAAATTTAACTATTTAATAATCAATTAAAAAGAAATGTTTATGTCGATATTACTCTGTAATCAGATTGGACCAGCGGTTTGGAAAATGAATGAATGGATGATTCAGCTGCAGGCGCCATCTTCTGGCGAGACGCGGGAATTAATTTGTTGTGACCCTCACAGTGCATTATGGGTATTCTTTAGCCGTTGAGTGTGCATTGGTTGCACACTCGTTATTCTGGTGCATTGTGGGATTGAATGAGTATAGTTTCGGAAACAACTACAAATGGCTGACCCCTTAAATGGTGCCCTATTTAAAGGTATAGAGGGTTATTTCAGACGCAGCCCTGGTTTAAACTCACCGCGTCCGCACGAGCGCGAAGGTGTGCATGGCCAAAATGACATCACCGCGGTGTGGGCAGTCGTGTGTGTTGAGTGCGGGAGTTTTTGTAACTTGTCCGCACAGCTCCACTTCTGAAGATGTAAGACTTCAAGGTGATTATTTTGTAATAAAATTTAACAAAAATGTTTATGAAATTAAATGAAAATATTTAAGAGATTGTTGTTTAATTTAGTTGTATACATGTTCTCATATCCTATATTTGGTTCTAATGTCACAACTTCTCACAAGTAATCATCTCAAAGTTTACTGAGTTTTACACGATTCTTTGGTTCTTTTGTAGCATGGGTTTGGTGAAGTGTAATAAAAATAAACATCATCACGTGATGGTTTAAGAGGACATTTACTCTGAGTCGCCCCCTGTTGTTTCCAAGAATAGAGCAACGGTGAGCACGTCAAGTATAAACGCCCCGTCCGTTTGCGGTCCACTTTAGTTTTGTTTGCCGTTTGATGTTTCTCACATGCAACAACAGAAATGGCTGCTCTTATCAGCTCTTACCAGAAGGAAAAAATTTTGCAAAATGTGATCATTAGGTTGCAGTCTGGGGCCCTCTAATTTTGATAGGGATGCACCTATACCAGTATCGGTATATTATTGCCCGATACTGTACTCATGCACTTGTACTCATTAAAATGCTCTGATACCAAAAAAACATTAAATGTTACGTGATTTATGTATAAGAAGTAGTTCCCTAACTTATTATTGCAGGAAACCGTCATGTGATTACTGTGCCGGTGCAGTGAAGCACATTTTGAATATGCGCTTTGCTATTAAATGAAAGATAAATACGATAGCAATAGAATGAACAGTAAAAGTAACAGAAGCGTGTACAATACATTTTAACAGGCATAATTAAGCATGAAAATAACTGAAAGGAAATATATATTTGCTAAGCCAACTAATATGATTCATATTCTTTTGGTTTCTCTACCCAATATTTTTGAAAAATTACAAATGTAATGAAAACACAGGTATCGTATCGGCGAGTATCAAAAATGAAAGTACTGGGCTTGTCCTGAAAAAAAGTGGCATCAGTGGATCCCTACTTTTTAACGTTTTTTACAATTTATTATGAAAAATGGCCACTTAGCAACCCAGCAAGATTATTCACTTTTTTAAAAAAAAAAGGTAAATTTGAACTTTTCAAAAAAGTAAATAACCACAATGTGCTAAAACACACTTAGAACACCTTAGCAACTGGCAACTACCGATAACGCATTGTGCGCTACACATTTTCTTCAGAGTAGTTAACGTAAAATTACCAGTTGAGGTTTAATGGTTTGGATTTAGCAATCCTGATTATTTTATATAAAGAATCATGGCTGTAAAAGCAAAGTATATGCATTTAAGGGTAGAGATGCTTCTGCGTATATAGTGCAGCACATTTTGGTGTTCATTAGTGTCATAGTGTTTGTCTTCTTTAATAATGGCCTGGAGAACTGTAGTGTAGATGGCACTCAAGGTGGATGATTTAGGGCTGCACGATATGTTATTTTTGTATCGAAATTGCAATGTGCACCTCCATGATAGTCACATCGCAGAATGTGCGATGTCAAGTATAGGGATCGGAGTTGATCCGTGATCCGTACAGACCATACCCCACAGTTCGAAACGCACACGGTTCTATGATTAATTGTTTAATAAAGTTTAACCATCATAGAGTGAATGCTTATCATTTGCACAAGTTTTAAGTCTTGTCAATTTAAACATTCAAGCAATTTTAAACCATTCAAGCGCAAGAAGACGCGAAAGAGAAGTCAATTCGGACTGCACGCGCTGTTTACTGTGCTGTTTACAGTTTACTGTTTTAGTTCACCCAAAAATGAAAATTATGTCATTCCAAAACCGTAAGACCTTCATTCACCTTCAGAACTCAATTTAAGATATTTTTGATGAAATCGGACATCTGACCCCTCCGTAGACAGCAATATAATAACC